ACTTAAGAGTTGGTTTTGAAAAGATCAACAAAAATGCACAAACCCTTAGCTAAGTTAACTAAGAAGGGAAAAAAAGAGAAGATTCAAATAACTAAAATTAGAAATGAAAGAGGAAACATTACGACTGATTTTACAGACATAAAAAAGAGTAAAAGAGGCTTCCAGCCAAGATGGCATCGTAGGTAGATGCCGTGCTCACCTCCTCTCACGACCACATCAAAATTACAGCTAAGGTACAGAACAACCATCATTGGGAGTCGTCTGAGGTCTGGCTGAACGGAAGTCCTATAAATAATAAAACGGCAATAACTACATATCATCCACAATTACTTTAAATGTAAATGGATTAAATGCTACAATCAAAAGACAAGGTAGCTGAATGGATAAGGAAACAAGATCCTCACATATGCTCCCTACGAGACCCGCTTCAGATCAAAAGACACACACAGACTGAAAGTAAAAGGATGACAAAAGATGTTTCATGAAAATAGAAACAAACAGAAAAGAGCTGGGGTAGCAATACTTACAGCAGACAAAACAGACTTTAAAACGAAGCCTATAAAAAGAGACAAAAAAGGATCCAGTTATCCCACTTCTGGGTATTTATCCAAAGAAATACAGAACACTACTTCGTAGGAACATGTGAATCCATATCATTGCAGTGTTATTTACAGTAGCCAAGATATGGAAGCAACTTAAGTGTCCATCAATAGATGAATAAAGAAGTAAACAATGGATAAAGAAGAGGTGGTATATGTATACAATGGAGTATTACTCAGCCTTAAAAAATCATGAAATCTTGCCATCTGCAGCAACATGGATGGACCTAGAGAGTACTGTGCTGAATGGAGTAAATGAGTCAGACAAAGACAAATATCATATGTGGAATCTAGAGAACAGGATAAACAAACAACAGAAAAAAGCTCATAAATACAGGGCATTCTGATGATTGTCAGATTGGAGTGTGGAAGGAAGGGCGAAGGGGGAGGAGATTAAGAGGTACAAATTGGCAGTTACAATATAGTCACCGGGATGTAGAGTGTAGCATGGGGAATATAGTCAGTAGCACTGCAATAATTATGGATGGTGTCAGAGGGGTACTGGATTTATCAGGGCTATCACTTCATAAGTTAAATGTCCAACCACTGTGTTATACACCTGAAACTAATACGATATTGTATGTCAACTATAATGGAAAAAATTAAAATATGAAAATAAAAAGAGTAAAAGAATATTATGAACAATTGTGCACCAACAAATTGGATCACCTAGAAGAAATGAATAATTCCTAGAAATACACACCTACCAAGACTGGAACATGGAACAACAGAAAATCTGGAAAATGTAATGCATGCTATGCTGACATTAGTTAATACTACTGTATTTTATATTTAAAAGTTGCTAAGAGAGTAGATTTTAAAAGTTCTCATCACAAGAAAAAAAATTGTAACTAGGTATGATGACGGATATTAATGAGACTCATTGTGACAATACTTTTTAAATATATACAAATATCAAATCATTATGTTGTATATCTGAAACTAACGTAATGTTACATGTCAATTTATACCCCAATAAAAAAAAAATCTGAACAGACTTGTAACTAGTAAGGAGATTTAATGAGTAATCGAAAACCTCCCAACAAAGGAAAGCCTAAAACCAGATAGCTTCAGTGAAAATTTTACCAAATTATTTAAAAGAATTAGCACCAATTCTCCTCAAACACTTCCAAACAAGTCGGAGAGAATACTCCCAAACTCATCCTGTGAGGCCAGCATCACCCTTATACCAAAGGAAAACCACAGACCAATATTCCTGAGGAACACTGACACCAAAATCCTCAACAAACGACTAGCAGTCCAAACTCGACGGCGCATGAATAGGATTACACATCGTGACCAAGTGGGGTTTACTCCTGAAATGAAAGAATGATCCAACATACAAAAACCAATCAGTTGTAATACACACCACGTTCACAGAATGAAAGACAAAAATCAGATGATCGTCTCAACTGATGCAGAAAAAGGTTTTGACAAAATTCAACAGTTTTATGATAAAAAAAAAAACCACTCAGCAAACTCAGAATAGAAGGAAAACTACCTCAACATACAGTAGCCCCCCCATATCCAAAGCGGATATGTTCCAAGATCCCTAGTGGATGACTGAAACCACAGACAGTACTGAACCATTCATATATATGTATATATATGATTAGATATTTCTACACTATACACACACACGCAGTGTTTTTTCCTAAATACACTTTTCCACTTCCCTTTGGCATATCCAAACGACTAGTATCCCCACTCTTGCTGCCATTATTGAGTAAACTAAAGGAGACCTGAACGCCAGCACTGCAATACCTTGATAATCCATCTGATAACCCAGAGAGCTACTACAGGACGAAAGGGTGGGGAGCGTCCACACCATGAAGATGAGGACAGAGAGAAGAGTCACACATCCCAGCATCAAGCAATGGGTGCAATTTAAAACTGATGAACTGCATACTTTAAACATTTTCAATTTAATATTTTTAGACCACGGTTGACCGAGGGTAACTGAAACCTTGGGAAGTGAAACTGCGGGCTGGAGTTTGGGGTAACCATAATAAAGGCCACCTATAATGAGCCCACAGCTAACATACTCAATGGAGAAAGACTGAAAACTTTTCCTCTCAGATCAGGAACAAGACAAGGATGGCTGCTGTCACCACTTCCATTCAACATAGTACTGGAAGTTCTCGCCAGAGCAATTAGCCTATGTTGTTATTTAAGTCAAGGGACTTCAAACAGTCATAAATGATCACGTGATTTTCATCAAGGTGCCAAGGCTGTTCACTGGGAAATGGGAAATCATCATCAAATGGTGCTGGAGAAAGTGGATGTCCACATGCAAAAGAATAAAATTGGACCTTTATACAAAATACGAAAAGTGATTCAAAATGAATTAAAGACCTCAACATAAGACCTCGAACTATAAAACGCCTTGAAGGAAACATGGGGGGAAAACTTCACAACATTTGATTTTGCAGTGATTTCTTGGATATGACACCAGCAGCACAGACAGCAAAAGCAATCCCAGACAAATGAGCTATCACCTCACATCCACTGAAAAAACAGAAAATGAAAAAAAAAAAAAGCAGAAAATAACAAGCATCGACGAGGATGTGGAGAAACTGAAACCCTTGTGCACTGTTGGTGGAACTGTAAATAGAACATATCTCTAGAATTGTAAATAGAACATATCTCTAGAATTCCCAGAGGATCCAGCAATCCCACTTTTGGGTAAATACACAAAAGAATTGAAAACAAGGACTCAAAGAGATATTCGCACACTCATGTGAATGGCAGCATTATTCACAATGGCCAAAAGATGAAGGCAACCCAAATGCGTCATCGACGGATGACTGAGTAAACAAAATATGGTATGTTATATACAGTGAAATATTATTCAGCCTCAAAAAGGAAGGAAATCCTGTCACACGCTGAACATGGATGAACCTTGAGCACATGATGATGCTAAATGATATAAGCCAGTCACAAAAAAGACCAATATTGTAGATTCCACTTAAATGAGATATAGAGAGTAGTCAAATTTGTAGAGATCGAAGGTAGAAGGGTGGTTGCCAGGGGCTGGGACAAGAGTAAATTCATAGTTTTTTTTTTTTTTTATGTACGATTTCAGTCTTGCAAGATGAAAAAGTTCTGGAGATCTGCTCCACAATGTGAATGTATTTAACACTACTGAACTGTACACTTAAAAATGGTAAAGATGGTAAATTTTATGTTTTTTTTCCAACCATGCAAAAAACAAATAAATAAATAAAGGAAAGAAATAAAACATCTTCTCACCTTCTTAGGTGATTCTGAAGTGACCCAGATTTGTAAACCACTGGTCCGAAGTGATCCTGGATGGCTTCCAGGAGGAAGAGTAGCTTTGAGCTGGGCTATGAAGCGTAGAAACATTTTTGTTGGGTGGAGGGGGAAAATTACAAAGGAAGGTATTAATTCAGCAGCATCATCATTATCATCATCACAAAGATTTATTATATGTGCCTACCATGTGCCGGGCGTGTGTTTCACACATGTTCTAAATTTAATCGCCACAACAGGAAGGGAGGAGGCACATCTGCCTTGACACCAGGCAGAGACATCCACATGACGCTACAGAACAGGTTCTCGAGCAGAAGCATGAAATGATGCCAGAGGTGTTTTCAGCAGGTGAACCTGGAAGCAGTGCGTGGGAAAGCTCCGGCTGAGCTTCCAAGCTCTACACCAGGGTGGAAGCCCGATCAGTGCAAAATGGGTGACAAATAAATGTGCAAGTTGA